TTTTTATTTTATAATATCAAAAAATAATAATAAATACTAATACTAAGTTTAAACGAGTTGTGTTTCTTCATAGATCATGATTAAGAGAAGCCAGGCTAGATTCTGTACTCACGTACCATTGGGGCCGACAAATATTATCACCTAGGTGCAACAAGGGGTGACCTATAATAATAATAATAATAATAATAATAATAATAATAATAATAATAATAATAATAATAATAATAATAATAACAATAATAACACTAATAACACTAATAACATTAACCATAGTAGTAATAATAATAGTAATAATAATTATTATTATAATAATAATGATAATAATAATAGGTCATTCATGAGGCAAAGATTCATGAGGCAAAGACCTTGGCATTGTCACTTTAGTTGGTGGGGAATAATATGCAGTGTCATATAAAACACACATTTTTTGCCCAGTGCCTCCATTTATACTTATGATGATTTGAAATGTCAATGAACGGATGAATTTATCTTATAAAATTTCAATTGTAGGATTGTTCCTTTTTAAGTTTATTTCATTCAAGTACTTCTTAAAAAAAAAAAAGAGCAAAAACGAGTAATTTTCCCATGGTCATAATTGAGAACATTGGACAAGTAGGGTCATTTTGGTAATTTAACACCGTTTAAGTATTCAAAGAAAATGATAAAAAAAAACTCTAGTTGTTCAATAACATGGAATAAATATTGACTTAGATATTTCAAACTTGAACAACAAGCAATCTTTTCATCATTTAATAGTGTCATATCGCTAATCCTGCATAAGTATGGATATTTTCATCTTTTAAGTAAGCTAATTTATCAAAATGCTCATACTTGTTCAAGGTTCTCAATCTTGAAGTTTTAAGAGCTACCAGAATTATATGAAATTTTAAAAACAAAATTCCTTATATTAAATAGGAAAATTTGTCACATTTAATGATTTTATAAGAAAATTTGACCTTTCCATTGATGTATTCCAGTTTTTCATTTCGCTGCAACATGCAATTAGCAGTAGGAGTAGAACATGGAATGTAGTATTGTGATTGTCCAAACCTATGTTTAAAAACTTAGATTGGCTCGCTAGTTTCTAGGCAGATGGAGATCGATTATTTCCCCAGCCAATCCAATATTTAAAGTAAATAAAAAATAAAAAAATCTTATAGATTTAATTTGGGTGGGAACCATGTGATTCAGTAGATGCATATCACCTTGTTCCCTAACAGACTCGCCCAATTTTATGAGAAAACTAGAGGAGACCATCTAAATCAGCCTAATTCCCATTTCCTCCGGGTCGGTCTCCCTGATACCGATCTGGCGGATGAACGATTTTTAAACCGCAGTCAAAGCCAGAACCAATCAAGCTACTGTCTAGATCCCATATCATTCGTGTTGCCCACATTATGACAATCTAAATTAGTCTAGTTCATCTAAACCAGAATGAGCTTGGCTCATGTGAGTGCAACCATGTAATTAATGAGGATAGTGAAAATCACAAGGGTGCATATTGTATAAAGCCGAGGGTCTAAACAATCAAAGTAAAGTGCACTTTTAAATAGTGTCGAGAAATGTGGTTTCATATTGGAAATCTTTATGATAACCTTAAAATATATTTTTATTTTTAATTATAAAATTTAAAGCTTAAAAAATAGTATAGATCAAGCAAATCTATAAAAACCTGAAAATCTTGAAAATTGATGGTCCAAAAATGCGTTACAAGATGCACTATTTCCAAAACTTGAAATTCATTTTTTTTATCATGTATGTGCATCTTGATATCGATTTGATCAATTTGAAGATATTCGGACGACAAAACAACATCTTCTAGTTAAATTTTTGAGGTGTGCTCTAATTTGAGTGTTTAGAGCCTCGTCTCTATATAAACTTTTTTTAAAATAACAATGACTGCAGCCACAATAATGTAATTCATGTGAGAAAGAAGACCTAACCTAGAATTTAAAGAAGTTGCCCACAATAGACTAAATATCTAATTGATCACTAGAAGGTAAAAATCTCTTAATTGATTTTGTTATTCATAAAAAATAAAACAAAGGAGAAAAAGAAGAATAAGAAGGGGGCATCTTATTAGCTGGTCTATATTGTTTCATTCTTGCCTTAGGTTGTCAAGAGGTTGGTGCATCTTGGGATCTCCTTGATATCTAGTTTTATAGTTACAAGCATGATTTTATTGGTGAAGTACACATAGTCTATGTGGAACACTGTTGGTTACCTACTTTCTTGAAGACTAAAACACCCTGACCCTTATTTCCCATATGGTGTGATTGGCTTTTTCTTTTTCCTGCCATCAACTTATTGGGGGTGTAGATATCTAAAGGCCTATGCTTTGTGATGAAAAGTGAAATCATACCTAGAAATCTTATTAGCAATATGATATCTGTTTAAGAAACTCTAGCTTCAAAATTTATTTGAGCCTCGTGTTCATAAAATTTGAATATCCAAAGCTGAAAGAGATTTGACAGATCTAGAAACATTTGAAAAGGAATAGTTTAGATAAAGTGTTGTAATAAGATCTACTAACTTTAAGGCTCAAAATTCATTTTTTTGTGATCCATAATTATTGAAGTTGAGATGATCGACTTTAGGCTTTTACCAAGCAACATCAATTTTGAGTTCCGACTTCATTTTTTATTTTTAATTCATTGGGAAGGTTGAAATGTTACCGGTTTTTGCCCAAAGCAGGAATGACGCCCTTCTCTTTCCTATAGCACTCTAGGCGCATCTAACTTGAGAATGCTACACTAACAGCAAGGTTCTCCAATCAAACGCGACGTCCAAACTTGTCAAATCTTGACATAAATCTTAAGAAAAATTTTGTATAGAACCATAATTTTTCATATTATTTAATGGATGATTATCTTTCTGTTTGTTTTCAAGTGGTATAAATAAATTCTTAAAGATTTTATGGTAATTTTTTATCTTTCTCTTTTATTAACTCTTGATCATAAAAATTAGTTCCAACAGATCCTTTTATACTATTTCAACCTAAAAATATTTTTAATGAGTGGAAAGAGAGCTAAAAGTATTTTTTGATTGAAATGATATAAAAAAATTTATTAATATTAATTTTAGAATACAATTATAAAACGTGATTTGTGTAACCAATCTCAAATAATTAAAATAAAACTTAGATAAATGATAACGGTGAATCTCTCTTACATCCATCCATCTTAGTTAAATTCTCTCTCTTGAATCCACAACGGTCAATATAACACTTGATTCCTTCGTTACGTATTTCTCTCGTATTCAGTCATCTCAAATTTTGGGAAGGGCAATCAAGTGCTCCATCGAGAGACGACAAAATGGTGGGGGTAAAAAGGTCAATTTAAATTTACCGTGAGTCAGATGAGGACAAAGGAGAGGAGATCCCCATAGAAGGATGCGAAGATGTGGCCACATTCCAAAACCTTAATTTATTCGTTGTTTGACGTTTCTGCCCTCCCTATTCGCAGTTTTGCAAGTTTGGGGGAAGCGTCCGTAGGGACGGAGGGCCCTCGTCAGAATTGGTGGGCCCTACTCACGTAAAATTTCACCTAAGGTATCCTCAACCATTAAGGAGAAAGGCCAAAAGAACAAAATTCTAGAGAAAGAAAGGGACCATTTTTTTTTTTTCAAGGGAAAAGTTTATATAAGGTTGTGGATACACTTCAAAAATCTATCGAAAAATGTTGTTTCGATGTAGAAAAACTTCTAGTTGATCATCTCGGTATCGAGAGGTGTGAATATGAAAAAAAAAACAAGATTATGAGTTTCAAAAATAGCACATGCAACACATTATTTAGACCGTCCATTTTCAAGATTTTCATATGTTTATAGATCAACTTGTTTTTAATTATTTTTAAATTTTTAAATTTTATAATTAGATATGGAAATGGATTTTCAGATAATCCTAAGAATTTTTCTCACTAAAATTACATGTTATAATAAAATTGGAGGTGCACCTTAATTGGATTATTTAAACCACACCATTTTTTTAATGTGCCCCACGAAGATAGGGTGTGTGGATTTGGGTTTAGGTTGTGCTATAGGTGTATAGGATCTAGAGAGAGAGTTAATTGACACAAGAGAGGGAGAGAGATGTAATGAAAATGCAAGAGTCAAGAGAAAGGGATATGAAGTAGTACAAGGAGAGAGACAAGGAGGGGGAGAAGAGAGATAGATGTGATGGAAAGCAAGGAGCAGATAGAGAGAGAGATGTAGTGGAATTTGAGAGAGAGGAAAGAGTAAAAAGTTAAATGTAGAATGGAGAAAAGGGGAGAAACATAAAGAGGGCTTTCTAAGAGTTTGGAGAAAAATGCAATGGCATCCAAGGAGGGAGAAATAGGAGGGTGTGAACATGGAATCTAGGAGAGAGACACCATGGAATCTTTACAGAGAGAAAGGGGAGGTGCAATGATATTGTATAGCTATAGCAGTTATATAATATTAACTATGAAAATGAAGTAGCCATCCTCTTAGAAAATGGATTAGAAAAAAATTTATATAAATGAAAGGTTCTAAACAATCAAATTAAGGTATAAATAAAAAATTAATTAAAAAATATTATTTTGATGTTGAAAACTCTCAATTGATCATCCTAACCTCAAGATGTATATATATTAAAAAGAAATAGATTTCAAGTCTTGAAAGTAATGTATCTTGTAATATATTATTTAAACCGTTAAAATTTTATATTATTAAATATTATAAATCTATTCGATCAATATTATTTTTTATTATTAAAATTTTATGACTAGTGATGAAAATAAAACTTCGAGTCATCACCAAAATATCTGATATCGAAACAACATACTTGAGCACTATTTGAATGTGCACCTTGCAGAAACTATAGCCAATATAGATAATGCTAGAAAACCCATTTTGGTCATTTGAGGTTTAGCAGGGACCCCTAGAGAGAGAGAGAGAGAATCTGCATGGGAGGTGTGAGATGATAGAGGTTATAAATAGAGGCGTGAGCCTCGTCATAGAAAACGATGGCAGTAATTTGAAGAAGTAATGGTAGGAGTAGAGAGTCCCCCTTCCAAAAACCAAAACCAAAACCAAAACCAAAACCAAAACATGACTCTGCTCTAATTTGTCCTCCGAAAATGACGCAACCCTGAATCTCATTTCCTGCAGCACCGGACTTCCCAATGGGCGGCCTTGGCTTTTCCCCTCCCTCTTTCACTCCCCTCCTCTCTCTCCCCTCCCCATAAAACCCACCTCGTCCTCTCTCCCCTCATTTACCCCCCTCTCTCTCTATAACCTCTAGTTTTCAATCTTTGCTTCTTCACATTTCTCTCTCTACTGCTCTCATGGGTTGCACAGAGGTGAATCCGCTTGTCTTTGATGCGGCCCGACTGCGCCAGGCGAATACGATCCCTGAGCGGTTTGTGTGGCCGGAGCACGAGCGCCCCAACAACCCCTCAGAGCTTGACGTGCCCCTCATCGACCTCTCCGGCCTCAGGCTCGGTGATGCCCACACTACCTTTGAAGCCGTGAAGCTCGTCAGAGAGGCCTGCTCTCGTCATGGGTTCTTTCAGGTTGTGAACCATTGGGTGGAGTCAAGCTTGTTAAAAGAGGCGCATGAGCACATGGATAGGTTTTTTGCGATGGGTTTGGGAGAGAAGCAGAGGGCGCAGAGGAAGCCTGGGGAGAGTTGCGGCTATGCCAGCAGCTTCACGGGGAGGTTCGCGTCGAAGCTGCCGTGGAAGGAGACGCTCTCCTTCCACTTCTCGCCTGCTATGCCCCATGTAGTAACTGACTACTTTCGATCGGTGCTGGGCGATGGGTTCGGCTCATCTGGGTACAAACACTTTCTCTTTCTAAAATCACTTCCATCTCATTCTCTTTCAACCTACACTTCTCTCCCTCACTCTCTCTTTTCTCTGTGTGGAGGGCGAGTTTCAGCAGGATGCGTGGTGATACTTTCTCTCGCTACAACCCACTTTTCTTATTCGTCAATCTCCTTTCTCCCTCTATTTCTCTTTGGAGGATGTGTTTGGGGTGGGTCTCTCATGAGTGCTGCGTGCTGCTTTTAACTGTCTAACAAGCACTTTTCTCGTTTAACCTTCTTACTAGTTATCTCTCTCTAGACTCACTCTATTCTCTCTCATCACTCACTCCATTACCTCTCTCACACTCATTCAACCAAGTTTAGATTTATGCATTATAGCTACTCTCTATCTCTCTCTACACACGATGTCCTCTTCCGATCCTCCTCTTTCTCTCTCTAACTCTTGACTGTTTATTTCAGTGAAGTCTACCAAAAGTATTGCGACTCGATGAGCGAGGTTTCAATGAACATCATGGAGCTTCTAGGCCTAAGTTTGGGCGTGGATCGAGCCCACTTTAGAGACTTTTTCATGGAGAACGACTCCATTATGAGGCTCAATTACTATCCGCCTTGCCAGCAACCAGGGCTCGTGCTCGGCACCGGCCCGCATTGCGACCCAACTAGCCTTACCATCTTGCACCAGGACGACGTCTCTGGGCTCCAGGTCTTTGTTGATGATCAGTGGCACTCCATCAAGCCTAACCCTCATGCCTTCGTCATAAACATAGGCGACACCTTCATGGTAATTTTCCTCTCTCTCTATCCAAAAGGATAAATAAATTAAAGATTTATCATCAACCCTATTCTAACTATTTGGCGGGGTTACCCGAATCTTATTCCGTCATTCTGGCTGTTTTCAAGGGCCATATCCTCAATGGACCACCATATGAGCATATAACATAGATTGAGGATTCATAAAAACATGTGAAAAAGTTTTACACTGAGTGCCTTAATCAGCACAACCCTCCTCTTTTATCTAGGCTTGGGACCGACATGACTAGCTTGGTACCAGCTATGGCAGAATAAATAAATTCATGATTAATTTTTAAAAACTTAATTAAGTTTTTCTCTTCAGTACTATATTGGGGCCTTTTTCTAACTTAAAAATTTGGTTTATTTATTTTGTTAGGCATTGTCAAATGGGAGATACAAAAGCTGCTTACACAGGGCGGTGGTGAATAGCCGGGAGCCAAGGAAAACCCTAGCTTTCTTTCTGAGCCCAAAAATGGAGAGAGTGGTGCGGCCACCTCAAGATTTAGTGGACCAAGAGCACCCAAGGCTATACCCTGACTTTACATGGGCCACTTTGCTGGAGTTCACACAAAAGCATTACAGAGCCGACATGAAAACACTGGACTCATTCACAAGGTGGCTCCAGACCCATTAGTCTAAGAACCCAGGCGACCCATGGCCCGACCATGTCCGGTGCAATAGACCGACCCTATCGAGCCCAGGGTCCGTCCGGTGTTGTTTGGCCTCGCATATTCTCTTGAATCCGTCTTTCAAATTTCTCTCTTCCTTTGTACTTATTTCTTTTCTTCTTCTTTTTTGGCCAAATAGCATGTCTTGAAAAAAAGAATAAGGTTAGCAAAAGGAACAAGAAAAAGGACCGTTGTAAAGCCCTCCTCAATAAACAAAAGCATAAAGGTATCAAAGGATATCACAAATGGGGTGTTGCTCTCGGTGCTCTCTCTCTCTCTTACTCTGCACTTCATGGGCCGGGCCTCGTGGACCCGCTCTAAAAAAAACTAGGGCCTCAGTCATAAAATGCAGCCTGAGTATTGGGATTGGACCACGCCAAGCTTCTTTGCATTATTTTCTTTTAATTTTACCCAGTAGTATCAGGATAGGGCCAAGCTAGCCAATCCCAGGTCTGGCCCGGCCCATCCAGTTTCCAGCCCTAAATGATCATGAAAGAGCTCAATTTGGAATAGGTTAGTGAGAGAGGAGAGATAAAACCAATTTCTTCTTGTCAAAGAAATTAAGAAAACCAATTTCTTAATCTGTTATGTGAATTTCACGGTAGAGGCCCCAACCCAATCGCATGTTTACAGAGAGAGAGGGCATAATTGTCATATTGGAACTTTGGAGGGGTGCTTAAAACGTCGAGAAAAAGCAAAATCGAGGTGGGCGCTGTTGGCTTCAGATATTGTGACATTCCGCTACAAAAGAGGCGGGCCCCACTTTTCCATACACATATATTCTTTTCATTAACCATACACAATACCATAGGCACGAGTGAGAAGGAGGCGACGCACGAGCTTCGGGGCTCTGCGCTCTGCCGTTCTCCCAACAAATAGAAGCTGCCCGTAAAGCCGCCAGGAGTCACGACAAAACCCGCCCTTTTCTTTTAATTCCTGTCCTCTCTCTCTCTTCCTAAAACTTTCTCTCTCTTACGTCCTCTCTCTCTCTCTCTCTCCATTCCCCACCACCTTTCTCTCTCATATCAACTTTTTCTACCACTTGTGCCCTCTACCCACTTCTACCTCCCAGCGTGGCCCGGACAGGATCTAAAAATTATGATTTGGGCTACAAAAATGTAGTTTGAGGGATGGGCCTGAGCCAGGTCAAAACTGACTGGACTCGTATCGCACCTTGTTTTTTTCGGCTTAATTTTAACCTACTTGGCTCCACCCGGTTAGACTTTGATAGAGCCAGCAATGCCCGGGTCAGGACGAGCCCAGCCCTAATCTTCTCATGTGTCCTCTCTCTATTTCTCATGCACACGTTTGCATCCAAGTCCCATACCCTCTCTCTCTCTCTCTATTTCATTCTTGTTTCTCTCTCTTACGTCCTCCCTCTCACTTTCGCCCTTTTACAGTCATGTCTCGTTCTATATCTTATATCCTTTTTCCTTTCTCGCTTCTTTCTAAACCCCATCATCTCTCTCTCTAGAAAACAAACAGTCTCTTTATTGGTGCAAGACGACAATGGACACTCTTCCTTACCCCTCCCGTGGGGGAAGAAATAGTAAATTTCAAAGGCGGAGGATGACCCTTGACACTTATACAAGTCACCCAAAGGACACTGTGCCCTAATATTTTTTAAACCAAAGGGGCCACATTGCGGACGCCGCATGGTCGGCGTTTTTTGGAATAATAGTGGGGGTTTTAGATCTTTCTCTGGTTGTTGAGGGAGAAATGAAGCCACGTCTAATGATAGGGAAAGTAATGAATTTTATGTCGTTTTACTTCTTAATCTCTTATCCATTTTTTAAAATTTGGGGACTTGTTTATCCATCACATGTGGCAATTTATAGAGATGAGGCTCTGGATTAAAAAGATGTAAAAAAAGAGTCCATGCATTAATGAACTGTCACGAATGACCATCCATTCTACACTATCATCCAACCATCATCCTCCATGTCCACTCCCAACTCGAACTTCCATTTAAATTATAGGAAATGAGAAAGAAATCATAAAAAATTTCTCTCTAAACACACATGAGTACTTTCTCAACCTTTACTTCATTTTCCAAAAAAAGGTTGGGGTCGAGATGATAGCATCTCCACACCTTTATCTTTATTATATTGTAGTTTCACCGCTCCATTATTAACCCTTACAAAAAAAAAAAACTCCTAAACTATTTGAAAAAACAGGCCTGTCTTCCCCAAGTTCAGCATGCGAATTCTCTATGTTCCAAGCAGGCAATATGACATCATGAGAAGTCTCTCTCTCTCAAAAGCAGCTTGGCTAGTATTCAAACCTAGGACACCATGTTATTGTTCTTGATGCTAACCCCTTCTCTCTCTCTGGATACTGTATCGTTGCCCTCAACACCAATCAACAAGCTAAGAGCCCAAAGCCCCATCTCTCTCTCTCTCTCTCTCTCTTTTCTCTCTCCTGTAAGCCAACAACTCTCAACTTTCTTTGATGTGATGTTCTCACAGTACACATTATCAATTTTCCTCATGATGAAAGTGAGGCACCCACCATCCACAAACCACAAATCTCAACAATACAACGATCACAAAGTTGGCCATTGATTATGCTGGTGAATTTACAGTCAAGAAAATCGACTAAGATCGATTTTGCTCCCCATTAAACGATAAAAACAAAGTGACAACAACCACCCCCTCCCTCTGCTCCCCTCCCCCACTAAATTGTCAATATGCGTAATGCTAAGCCTCTCGTGTTTCCTCAAAGCAACGCTTTACAAAATCAAAACCAAAAAAAAGATTGCATACTTTAAAAAGTAAAGCATTACTCTTAAAAGGAGGGTTTCTTTGTATTTTTGGCAAAAGGTGGTCATGTTTTGGTAAACATTTACTTTCAACGTGGCTAACTGGATTGGGCATGTGTTCGATGCGGCTTTACTGTGTTTGCACTTTTGAGGAGCTAGACGTGATTTTTGTCTTCTTTTGTGCGTGCTAAGGGAAGTGTAAATGGATTTTTTTTGAGTAGTTAAAGTGTATGTCCCCGAACTTTTTTTTTCCTAGTTAGAACGGAGTTAGAGACTTGATCATGGGGGATCGATAATATTGTCGTCAAGGCCCCAAGTCATTTTCGTGGGGATTATATATTATGATACTATTTATGAGAGGTCACAATCATTTTTAGTCATTAAATGTCAAATTAGATATTTTGAAATGCGTTATAAAATTTGAAAAATTTTTAAACTTTGAATTTAATCAATTATACACTTACATCCGCCCGATTTAAAATTTAATGGACATAAATGATTATGACATCCTTATACTAAAATTAATTGATGTTTTTATTTTTTTTAATTCTAAAAAACGAGAGGAAAAATTAGGTGCAAAGATTAAAAAAATAGTATATTTATATCATGCTCTAAATTTTTCTATTTATCATGCCAAGGATCACTCTTAGCTCGTACTTTTTTTTTTTTTTCCATTTTGTCCCTCGGTTTATTGTTGAGAACATTGAACCAATGGGAAATTATTAATTCAAGGTTATCTAATGTCAAAGAGACCAAAACAACCAATGACTTGGTTGGTTTGATGTTAGGAACATCAGACCGCTCCAAAACTTATGCAATATATAACTTCAAGTTGACCAATGTTGTTGACATTGGAGGGCTTGTAAGCATTTTTTTTTCTTTTTTTTTTATAATTCATTGGAAAAGACATGCCTCTACCTCTTTTTTTAAATAGATTAGGGAGTTAACGTTTTTAAGGTTGTCAGGATTGAAAACCACAACATAGTAATTCGGTACGGGGTATTACCACCATGACGGCTTATAAACATTGCTTCCGTATAAATTCCAAGTGGTATGATAATAGTGATATCTGTGAAAGGAAAGTGTATATTGTGTATCTGGTTGATATAAAAAGTATATATTGCAATTAGTATTTATGGGAAGGGGATAGAGTATTTGTACTTTATTAAAAGTTTAGGTATGGTTTACGTATATATGTTTTAGTTTATATTATTGTCATTTGTAATTTGTCTATAAAAAACAAATCTATACATTCATATGATTAATGGACGTTGAGTCTTTTAAGAGAAACCTGAGACCTTTCACATGCTATCAAAGCCAAATTCATCTTAGTTGTGTCCAGTCTTTGTTCCTGAAGCATTGTCGCCAAGTTTCAAGATGAGTCCGTTGCTCACCCAGTCGGTGCAACTTCTGTTGAGTCGTGTTTTGATTTTCTACTGAGTCGTGTTTCTACTTTCCGATATGTCCTCTTTGGTGAGTCGTGTTTCGACTTTCTGATTTATCATCTCTACCGAGTCGTGTTTCAATTGTCTGATTTGTCTCTCTGCCGAGTCGTGTTTCGATTATCTGATCTGTCTCTATGTCGAGTCATGTTTTGACTCTCTGATATGTTTGATCTTTTCCAAGAGTTCATGAAGCCATCTGCCCTCAAGGCTTGTTGATTCGTCGTTGCTTTCGGTGCTTATTGATCAAGCAATTTGAGTATGCACCCGAAGATTCAACTACTCATTGCCACAATTAGTGTTCAAACCCTAGCTGCTCTCTCTCGCATCTTGAGTTTAAGGGGAAGTGTGAAAGAAAAGTGGATATTGTGTATCAGGTTAATATAAAAAATATATATTGTAATCAGTATATATGGGAAGGGTTGATAGAGTACTTGTACTTTATTAAAAGTTAAGGTATGGTTTATGTATCTATGATTTAGTTTCTATTATTGTCACTTATAAGTTTTTTAGAAAAGACAAATCTTTACATTCATATGATTAATAGACACTGAGTCTCTTCAGGAAACTCGAGACACTTCACAATACTTGCCCCTTTCGCATTAATTAGGGCACAAAACAATGCCGTCCATTCTCCCTCATATTTCATTCTCTCTTTCTTCCTCCCATGATCCCAGTCCCTCTGACCTTTGCTCCATCACATCGACACCATTATATATATGGGATTGTATACAATGAGACCATTTACCATTTACCTTTTATACAAGGTGGTCACAGTTCTTTACAATCATTTGATTTTAAATTCGATAGCTTGGATGTGTCACAAAGTTCGAAAAAATTTCTTTTAAAGTTTGAACTTAATCAATGAAATAACTGCAGTCACCCAACTTTACATCCAACAGTCAAGATTATTGT